CCCCCCCCCCGGGGCCGTGGGGAGGGACAGGGAACCGTGGGAGCCACACTGCAGCAACCACTGCATCCGCCCCCCGCAGTGGCCTGGCTGATGTCACCCTCCCAGAATACCTGGGGGCTCGCCGCGGGGGGGGGGTGGAGGCAGGAGCGGAAGCCGCGGGCCAGGGGGGGCCATTCTCCACAGGGTCCCCAGACTGGGTCAGTGACAGCCCCGTGCAGGGAGGGGACAGCAGCGGGGATGCGTCACCGGGGTGGGAAGGCTGAGCAGGCCCAGGGCGTGTGGGGGGGCCGCGACACCCCCATCCCACACCGGCAGGGTGAGCGCAGGCAGGGTGCGGGCATGCCAGCAACCTGTGGGTGACAGGGGCACGGCCGCCACCTCTGGCTGCTGAGGTCCACGGCAGGGGGGGGTCCTCGGCCCCCGCTACCCGTCCAGCAGCTTGAGGATGCTCTCACGCTCCTTCAGGGTCTTCCAGGCCTGGTCCTTCTCCTTCTTGGTGGGCGTGCGCTTCTTCTGCCGGGCGGCCATGATCTTGCGGAAAGCGTCCATCACCTCGTTGTCGGCCATGCGGACGCGCTGCCGCAGCTCCTGCCGGTGCAGCTCCTCCTTGGCCAGCCTGGGGCGGAGAGGGGACACACACAGGGGTGTCAGTCCCTGCCGGGCAGCCCCCTGCCTGCAACACCTCCCTGCCCACTCTCACCGCAGCAGCTCATGCTTCTTGGCACGGTTGTGCGCGCTGAGGGCCTTCAGCTCAGCCTGCCTCTTGCGCAGCTCGGCCAGCACCTCGTCCTCCGAGTCCTCGGCCGGCCGGTCCTCTGACTCCAGCAGGCCCTGGGCCACCAGCTCCTCCTTGATCCGCCCCTCCAGCGACTTGGTGTGGGGGACGCTGCCAGGACAGAGAGTGGCTGCTGCCCACCACACGCCCTTTCCTTCCTGCAACTTGCCGGGGCAGGGAAGGCACCGGCACGTTCGGCATACCCACAGGCAGCATCGAGCTCCAGGGCCACCTCAGCTGCTCACCTGAAGGGCTTGTTCTGGCTGCGGGGAGATGTGCCAGCACCATCAGCTCCCGAGTCCTTGCCAGCGATCTCAGGGATGGGGGAGTCCTCAACGGGGGAAATGATGTTCTCCTAGCGAGCAGAGCACGAGGGAAGGGTCACCGCGCCAGGCCGTGGCACTGCTGCCCCACCGAGCCAGGCCACGGCCCGGCCCCACGGAGCCAGGCTGCAGCACAGCCCCATGGAGCCCCCTCACCTCCACGAGGGCCTGCAGGAGACGCTGCGTCAGGGGCCCGAAGGGACACCCGTCCTCCGGCTGTTCATGCTGGGCTTCTGACTTCTTCAGCAGGGCATCAACGTCTGGGCAGAAGTGGGAGGGGGAACAAAACAACCCCAAACATGCAGAGGTGAGCAGCAGGGCAGGGCAGCCTCTACCTCGAGGGCGCAGGGCAAGGGGCCAGGGCTCAGCTCCGCTGGGTGCGGGTGCTCACAGCCCCCTCTGGGTAAAGGCAGGTGGGGGACAGGGGCACCTTTGGTGTCCAGCTCGGTCAGCGGCCCCAGGACGCCTTTTTTCTTGTCGGCAGCTGCCGCCGCCCGGGCTCCGTCCTTCTGCTCCTCCAGCAGGTCCTCCTGGGCCCAGCGCTGGGAGTAATGCTTCCCCAGGGGCGGGATCTGCAAGAGCAGGGCTCAGCACAGCTCCCAGAGCCCTCCCTACCTCGCCTCCCGGCACCACGGCATCATCCCCAGGCAGGATCACTCACTGTGAGGCACAGGAGGGGACAGAGTGGCCGAGGGCCGGGAGGGAACGGGAAGAGAGGGTTGGGGATGGGCTCAGGGGGCAGCAGGTGGAATCAGGAGTTTTCACCTTGTAATGCTCGGCCTCATCCTCCGGTGGCTTGAGCAGCTCCTCCAGGACTCTGACCTCCTCATTGGTGAGATCAGCACAGTACGGCTCCACCGATGCCCAGAACCTGTGAGGATGGATGAACCGTGAGGCAGAGCTACAGGGGAGCCCGTGGGAGCTGACACCCCCCCCCCGCATTCTCTCTGGGGCACCTCTTCCCTCGGGCTGGAGGCAACCCTCACGCCAGGTGCTGCAAGGAAGGAGATGGATGATCCCAACGCCCACCCAACACCCACGCACCTGTTCGGAGCATCATTTTTGGGAATGCGGGGCACATCAATGGGATCATCCTGGAACTCATATTCCTGGATCTTGGGCTGCAGGTTCTTGGACTTGGGCCGGCCAGGGCCGGGCCCAGTCCCATGGCCGCCTTTGCCCTCCAGCTTCTGCTTCTTGGGCTTCCCGTGTTTGACAGAGGTGCCCACATCGTGGTCCTTACTCAGCTTCAGGAACCGACGATCACCTTTCTTGTCCTGCCAGTCCGTCAGGATCTGGAAGAGAGCGATGCTCTGTCAGGTCCCACACCTAACGCTGGGCAGGGGCAGACCGGAGGCAGCCCCCTCGGTGGGAAGGACTGGGATGGTGAGCCACCCCTACAGCTGTGGTCCCGGCACCTGGGTCTCAGCCTCCAGGACGCGGAGGCGGCGGCTGGCGGAGGAAAGCAGCGTCTCCAGCTCCAGCTGCAGCGTGTCCAGCTCCTCGATGCCAATGCCGTCATCCTCCGAGCGGGCCAGCACGGCCGTGTACCGGGGGCACACCTTCACGTGGTCCACCGACTTGAAGTCGTGGAACTGCAGCGGGCAGTCCTTCAGCTCGCTCATGGCGGCGGGGACCGGGCACCGGGGGGCACCGGGGG